CTGACTGACTTCCAGGACCCACTGACAGCTGGGGGAGTCATGCATGCAGCTGCACAGAACCAAGACAAGGTTTAACTGGCAGCAGCTAGATAAGGAGACTTCTGCTGGCTGGGAGGAAAAAAACTTGTATATGGTTAACTACAATCACTTACTGCTAAATTTTTCAGTCGCTACCTCAACCAGAGCAGCAAAATGAGCTGCCCCATGTGCTTATTCTTTTACAGCACTTTGTTTTCTAAGCAACCTAGATGAGAATGTCCAAGTGTCAGCATCATCAGATCTCTGTTGTGATCACTCAGCAGACAGACCCAGAAGCTTAGGAGGTCATTATCTCATCTGCAAAGGTTACTGCCACAAAGCAGACTCAGATTTAAAGGAATCGGATTCACGCCAAGGCTTTGCAATCACTTTCACCAGCTGTTTACACTGAGATACCAACCTTCGCATAAAAATGTCAGTAGCATACATGAGTTATCTTCCAGCAGCTCTACTATAGGAGAAGTTTGCTCCAGGAAAGGGACAGGGCACTTAGCTGTGGAATAGCATTTTAAATAGCTTCAGCAAAATATTCTTGATTCTTGTGCCCTGCAGAAACATCTGTTCCACCAACAAGGCAAAACAAAACATAGCTTTAAAATGCACAGCTATGGTGTACTCCAGCTCAGTTCCTTTTCCTTAGGCTGTTTTACTGTAGGGCTTTTATGCTAAAGCAAAGATTTCCCCAAGCCCTTCAGGAGACCAGGCACTGTTCTCCAATTCCACATCCCATAGTCTGTCCCAAAAGAAGCTTGGGTAAGACAGGAAGCACCCCTCAGGCTCTTCTGGGAGTTATACAGAGAGAGTTTCCTCCCTTCTGAGGGAGCCACAGCCCCTTTCTCCTGCCACCAAAAAACAATCTTGCCCTGACATGATCTTTGGATACTGCTGTAAATGCTCCTGCTTCTTCCAGTGTGGGTGATGTGTCCACACTAGAGAAGAGCCAGCGTCAGAGCTGCAAAGGTGTCATGTTCCTGCACTGATACCATCAAGCAAGAAGACAGAGCTGTTTTTTTCCAAGCCTGACTTGTTCCAACTTCCCCCATTGTTCAAGGCAGATGTGTCACCATCCATCTGAAACTGTAACATGCCATTTACTCATGCTTCTGTGGAAGTGGAAGGAGCCTGTAAAAGCAGTCTTCACAGGAGCACCAAGAGGAGTTTCTGCCAGTTTGTTCGTTCCACAGGCATTTTAATGCTGCTGCATTACTCTGGGAGGATTGCATTTGAGGAACCATCAGGGATTAAAAGCACCTGAGCTTCTATTAAAATACTGTTCTTAAGCACCCCTTATGTTTAGTAATGAGAGAGCTGTGTGCCAGTCAACCTGTTTCATCTGGGTTCTACAGCAGACCACCCCACTTCTGCATACAAATGCTAGACCATCAGGATCCAGCACAGCGCCAGGAATGGGAGCCAACAGCATCTGAGCTCAGGAAAGGCACTCCTTTTAGCCTCTGCAGACTTCGGGTCTCCTTGGACTGGAGGTATGCAGACCCTGCATTCAGATACATGTCATAATGACACCTCTGCCTAGTACTGCAGTTCCACCCTGGTCCCCGACCAGTGTTGCAGCCATCATGACAGTAATTGGCCTCCTTTCAATTTTAGTGGCCATGGAGGCATCAGCAGTCTTGAGCCAGATATCTCTCTCACCAGGAAGCGTCAAGCATACCGACTTTCTCCTAGATGCCACCATCCCACTCTGCTTCAGGTTGAGCTCTAATTTGCAGGGCCAAGCACAGTGCTGAAAAACCTTGCAGACAAGTTTCAGGTCACTATCAAAACACAGGAGACAGCCAGATCACCTCCCTCTGAGGAAAAGACTGACCCATATTTACATCCATAAAGCTCCAGCTAAAATGAAATGTTAAGGTTCTTATGACAAACGAAATACCAATGGCCTGGTTAAGCAGCCTGTCACCATGCAAAGTTTGTTGCTTAGAATGATATTAAGTTGTGCCACCTACCACAGTTTACATTTGGTGCTTTACAGACTTCAGTGGGTTTCGGGGTGGTTTTTGTTTTTGTTTTTTGTTTTTGTTTTTTGTTTTTTTTTTAAGGGAACTGCTGACTGACTGGACCTGTACCCAGTGAACTCTCTCTATTTGTAGAGGCTGGACAGACAGGCTTTATTCATTCTGAGAAATTAAATTGAGAAGACCTGCACACACTGTCCAATGGCTTAACCTTTAGACAAACTCATTTAGACTGACAGCTATTCAGCTACTTTCCAACAAAGCACAGGCAAGAACAATGAAAAATTTCTATTTCCCGGGGTGGACACAATGACAGGCAGGGCAAGACATCAGAAACTATAAAGACTTTTATGGGCACAAATTCCTGCTTGCCTCTGAACCCTACTCCCAGAATTCACCTCCTTCCCTCAGTGCAGAACCTGCCTTTTGTCTGCCTGCAGTTATTTCTCATGCGGCTGTAGCTAGAGGCCCACTCTGCACAGCTGGAGAGGTTCGGCCAACAAAGAACCCACACCACCAGCCAGAAAGGAGAAGTAGTGACTGAACTCCCATGAGACGCCAGGGCCAAAGAACCCAGGTGTCTAAGGCATCAGCTCAGCTTCCTCCATGCTACAGCACTAGACTTCACCACTGACTTGCTGGATTTTATAGACAAATTGCTCCCCATAGGAAGACTCTTGTGCAGACAGCTCCACTATCTTTGTGGCGTCCAGCTTCCTTTCCTGACTGTGGCGCTTGGCAAAACAACCCTCCCTGCTACCACAGGATTAAGAGAAGAGCTGAAAAGGCAACAGTCCCAGTGAACAAGGGCATTAACTATCTTCAGGTTAGGTGAAGCTGCCTCTGGGCTTCAGTTCTGCCGTGATTAACCATTTCTACTCTTCTTGCCCCTGAGATGCTTATGCCTGGCCACTGTCTGACAGTTTGGACTAGACCACTCAGAAGTCACACCAGGCAAAGCCACACTCTGTTAGATACCTCTCATATTTGGCATTCTCTTTTCCCCTTCCCCAAGAAAAGCAAGTTATTCACATGACCTCTGGGTCTGCTGTACTTGCTACAGAGCTCAGAGAGAACTAAAAAAGACTCAAGAACTTTCTGGTGGGACCACAGGATCATCAGTGTACTAAGTTAGTCTCCAAAGTGGCCAGGAAAGAGGGAG